GTCCGTATGAATCAATACTAATCAATACTAAAGCCAAGGCCATGGCCTACCAGAGCAGGCTGATGTGCTTTGACTGTTCCACTGCCATGCTGACCGCTGTCGGTGTCAAGGACTCACTAATAGATTCCAGCACAGAGGGCAACACTGACCAGACCTCCTGCCTGAGAGCGGCCAGCAGTGTAGGGCTGGTCTGCAGGACCACAGCAGAGAGAAACTGTCACGAGAACTGAACACGAACGCTGAGGAAGGCGCAGGAGGAGAAGAGCTCTGACCGCATGTTCCCCCTTTCAGCGGTGCCCACGAGACACGGGCTCCAGCCGCAGCTGCACTTCGGGGGGTACGGCCTGCGCAGGAGGCCGAGAGTCCTCTACACTGAGGAGGACGTGCCCAAGGACGACGACTACCTGTGTGAGTGGTGACCCGGGCCACATGCCCGGCCGCGACACCGTCACCGTTTCACAGCTCCTCCACAGCGCACAACAGAGGGGCCCCCTGCACCCCCCCGTGTACCGTCCCGGGACACGAAAGCGCTGTCGCACAAGACTTGACAGGAGCAGCTGAGGAGCAGAAAGTCCCCCCCGTCAGTAGCAATACAGTCTGTTAGAGATTCAGGAGCTGCAGGCTCTTCCAGAACTGTACTCGTGTAGCAGGAATAGACAAAAGAACAGACCGGGAAATCTGAAGAATATAATAGCTCAGGAATCTGAAGCTCAAATGACAGAGGAATCTGTGACCTCAAATCCAAGCTGCTGGCAGCCTGGCGCGAAGCAGCTGGAGAACACGTGCAGTGGATCTGACCCCGCTCTGTCCCTCTGTCTCTGCCAGACTGCGAGGAGTGCGGCTCCTTCTTCCTGGAGCGATGTGAGGCACACGGTCCGCCCACCTTTGTCCCCGACATCCCAGCCGAGCCGGGCCTGCCGGCAAGGGCTCGGCGCACTCTGCCTCAGGGCCTGAGCATCAGGGAGTCCCAGATCCCCGGAGCGGGGCTGGGGGTCTTTAACACGGGTGCCCTCATCCCAGCCGGGGTGCACTATGGCCCCTACGAGGGAGAGCTGGCCAGTGAGGAGGAGGCAGTGCTGAGCGGATACTCCTGGGTGGTAAGTCTCAGGCTCAGTCACG